CAAATGTGAATTGTGCTGTGCATGTATGAATTTTATTTTGTAAATGTATTTTTTGAGACTGATCTGGCTCCATATTTTGTTTGTCTTTAACAATGTCTAAAAAACTTTACACACTCTCATGATACAACAATATTACAGAAATAGAAATAAGACAGACAGATACCAATACCCAAAAAAAAACTATACGTTATTATTGTACACAGAAACAAACAGAACACATCATTGTTAAAGGGATGACTCAAATGCAACCTTTTTCTCCAGTAGAACATTAATAATGCAATGGGTATTAATTTAGTTTAATTTAGTTTAGATTAATTGCGTGCGTGTGTGTGTGTGTGTGTGTGTGTGTGTGTGTGTCAGCAGCCATTGAGTTGTAATTTCTAAATTAACAAAGAGGTGGCTCAGTGGTTAGCACAGTCACCTCACAGAAGGTGGCTGGTTCGAGTCCCGGTGACATTTCTATGTGGAGTTTGCATGTTCTCCCTGTGTTAGTGTGGGTTTCCTCCGGGTGTTCCAGTTTCCCCTCACAGTCCAAAAACATGCGGTATAGGTGAATTGAGTAAACTAAATTGGCTATAGTGTATGTGTGTGCGTTTGAATGAGAGTGTGTATGGGTCCAGTAATGTGGAAGGGCATCTGCTTCGTAAAACATATGGTGGAATATAAATAGAGGACTAAGCCGAAGGAAAATGAACGAATGAATGAATGAAAACGACAGGGTCTACAGATACAGCTAATAATCTTCTTTAATGTTCTATTGAAGAAAAAAAATCACCTGCTATACATCTTGGACAGCCTACATCTTGGAATTACCCAACTAAACATAATATATAAATACGGCTCTAAATCTTCTGTATCCAATAAGGGTGACTACTTAGTGTTGCCAGATATTGCAAGAAAAAAATGGAGGACAAGTAAAATCTTCTAATCGCTTAAGTCCAAACAACTTTGTTTGCAAAACATTGCACCTGTCTGCTATTTCAATAAACAATAAACAGTATCAGAATAAACACTTCAGCTCAAACGATGCTTAAGGATATCATTGTAATAAGTTGACATGTCAACCCTCCAGGAACTCATCCTGTAAAGCAGCCTTTGGTCAAAATAGTGCAAGAACCCGATATCATTCATTACGATTACAGAAAATAAGTTGTGTTTTGTTCTCACAATTTCAGAATTGAGTCATGTATTGTACACACACACGATACACAATACTTTAAATGATTCACTCCTGCATTTAAATACAGTTATCAATCCTGAAACTCTACCTCCAAGTAATATCTTGGGCTAGTTCTGAGTATTACTTGACCGAAGAATGATTCTCTCCAGTGTTCTGATATGTAAATGTTACAGAGGGCGAGTCTTGAAATAGTAGCAGCAGGCAGGTAGTCCATTATGATGCCTCGGTAATTTCGATCAATTTAATCATCAAAGTAATTTTCCCTCTCTCTGTGCAGTTGATTGACCTCATTGTCACTCGGCTTGGTAACTTATTTTTTTGAAAGGTCTGCATCAGACTTCTGTTCTCAGCAGAGTCATTTCCACCTTGCTGCCGGCTTCCTCCTCCGCCGCCCAATCAATTAACATATGAGTAATACCAGAGCCATTAGAAGGCAGCCAGGATCTAAGGAGTGCTGTCATCCGCTGTTGGAACGATGGCTTAATTTAGCAGCAAGGCTCAAAGGAGCACTTACCCAGGGCACAATCCGGTAGAATCAATAACAACAGTCCCGGCTATATTGTTTCAAACAAGGAAACGGTGGGGAGACTATAAAAGCGTTCAATAGGAATGGCGAGGCCTCAGAGAGACAGTGAGAGAGAGAGACATGCTGGCTCAGCCGTAAATAACGGAGGTTGTAAAAGCTACCAGGCCGCCTCTGATGGGGAGATAAGCGATGTGACCCACACAGAGGAGCAGGTGAGGGGCACTGCACACTATGGCAAAGGACACATTATATCACTAATCTCACCTCTGCAGTATTAGCCAGAAGAAGCTGAAAGAGGATTGACTCTAAAGTGGTAGAGGAATCAATGAGTTATGAGCAAGGATGTAACCCAGTATTCAAGACTGGTGGGAGGAAATGTAAAAGACTGATAATCCTCATTGAAAAATCCATACTGTGTGTTTACAACTAAATGCTACAATTCTGGCCAATGTGACAGGGTGATAACACCCCCCTCCGTCATATTTACTAAATGAAATCCAATACTTACTCAATTTTCAGTGCCGACTTCATTCTAGAACTCTCACAAAATAGAATTTGCATGCATGTCACTGCATTTTCACAATCATGTGGAAGATGAAAGTTTCATTTTCTCTCTTAATTAACTGTTACAAAGCCATGACTTCTATCCTTCCATGTGCCCATGTGTAACTTACACATGCGTGACATTATTTTATGTATAATCCTCATATCACAGTTAGAGTTATGGCCAGTAACAGCTGATTATACATGAGCCAGTTGTCTACATCCATGGTTTAAAAGTTTAAATGTTTATGTAAAGTCTTTAACATTAATGTCTGAATAAAAAAAGCCAACTACATCTTGGATGTCCTAAGGGTACGTTAACAGCAACTCTTTTGTTTTGGGTAAACTGTAGGTAAATATAGTATAATTAATAGGGATGTAACAATTCACGACTCACGATGCTAATCTCACCATTTACAATTTAGTCGTGATTTTTAACAAAATTATTTGAAACAAATTGAAGGTGAAGAGGCCTTTAATTTTTTTCTTAAATGCTGCACATTTTTTGCAAAATAAAACACTTTCTGCTATAATTAAACTGCTATTTTAAAAACAAATAATATCCAAAAAAGAAGAAAACAAAATAAGAAGACTCATTGATAAAAACAAACTAAAACTGTGACTGTGCTCGGATTTTACTTCTTTAAAAAGAAATATCAGCATATCTGTGTTTTTAGCATAAGCTAAGGTCTTTGAACATTTACAATGTCCCCTGCTGAAAAAACTCTTTCACTGGGGACTGAGATGACTGGTGTAAAAAGCGTTCTCTAAACCAGAGAGCAGTGTGTACAGAGGTGGCCAACAGGCCCTCTGATCCAGGGGACAGGCCACTGCCATAAAATACTTATTATGAATTTACTAATTTTAAAGTTTAATACACTCTCAGAAATAAAGGTACGCAAGCTGTCACCGGGGTGGTACCTTTTCAAAAGGTACAAATTTGTACCTAAAAAGGTCCATGTTAATACCTCAAGGGTATATATTATTATTATTATTATTATTATTATTATTATTATAACAAAAGTGTTCCTGTTACATTTTTTAGGTACTAGTATATACTTTTGAGGTACCAATATGGACCCTTTAAGTACAAATGCGTACCTTTAGACAGACTACTAGAGACAGGAGTTGAACAACGTGATGAAGGTGAATAATTAATATTACTTGTATAATTATTTAGTATACAACAAGCATATATAACAAGTAAATTATTCAAGTATGCATAAACTAATTTGTAAAGGAGAAAGTAAAAATAATCTAATACTTGCTTCCGTACCAAAACAACCTTTTTTCTATTCGTCTGAAAAACATCTTCACACTTTTGCGATGAAAATGCTGATGCACCGTGTGATCTTTTTTGCAAATTGAAACGTGTGACAGTAGTTTTTCACTGTGCTGATGGTTTATGTGCATCATATTCATTGTTCTGTTAGTGTAAGTAAAAGTTTTTGCTGTATTTGCAGACAGTTTGTGTTTTGTCTGGCACACTTTACCACCTCTTGCTTCTGCTGACGTGCAGGTAAAGTGAGCTTGCACCTGTATCACGATTTGTTCAACATTTCTACTGGTTTGAATTGTCACATATTTTAATCGATTTTCAACTGACTCACAGAGAATTGTTTCATCCCTAATAATTAGTATAATTAATTTGAACTATTACTAATACACTGTAAAACCCAAAAGGTTAATGTAACAAACTATTTGAGGAAACCGAGTGCAACAAAATATTTGTTTAAAAATTAATCGTAATGAGTACCGTGAACTTAATCCATTTGAGTAAACAAAGCAATTTGAGCACATTAAAACCCAAAAAATGAAGAGAACTCGAACCCACTGAGTACTTTAAGGGTGCCTTCTTTAGTTCGGTTGAATCGCACTACAGTTCGTTTTCCCTCTTGGTGCGGTTCGTTTGGGCAGGTGTGAATGCAAAAATTGTACTCGAGTGCGCACCAAAAGTGGACCAAAAAAGCGTACCGAGACCTGCTTGAAGAGGTGGTCTTGGTACGCCATCAGTGTGGTGTGAAAACAACCCAAAGACGGCAGAAAATGCAACAATGTATCATTTATTGCGCTTGGTCCGGACCAAATGAAGGGAACTACAGACGTGAAAGCACCCTAAAACCCAATAAGTTAAGTCAACTTAAACCATTTGGGGAAACCGACTGCTACGAACCATTTGAGTTAAAAAACGAATCTATACGAGTACTGTGAACTTACTCCATCTAAGTTGAAGTAATGACAAACAATGAGGTAATAAGTAATGAGAATAAGTAAAATTAACTTTTAGTCAATTTTGAGTTAACTACACTCATTTCATTTGAAAAAGTTGACTGTTGGGTTTTACAGTGTAGAAAACAATGGTCAGTTGACAAACAAATTTGTATAATTTGGAACATTTTTGACAGACATGCGCGTACTGGAAAATCTGCCAAAAACTGTTTACAATGGTGTCGACTGGGCTTAAACAGTTAATGACCTTTATCCACCAATTGAACACAGTTCAGGATGTTTACATGACCTTACACGTTGAGCGTAAGAGCTTGCATGTAAATGCACCCATTGATTGATCGCTAATCTGAATATTGGAGTAGAATGCGGCCATTTCGATGCGCATTAGGGCTCAGAGAGCTTTTCTGAGAGAAAGCACTCTAATGGAGACACAAGGACACGAAAACACACACTGAGAAAAGAGCAAGATCTCCAAGACTCTTAATGGCAGACATAATAGCAGAATAGCCATTTTGCTATATGGTACGGTCAAAACATAGCAGGAAAAATCTGTATTGACAGAACCTTAGAGAACATAACAAGAGGGCTGGGGTGAACGGATGGATTTCATTTCCACAGCAATCTGTCTGACAATGGCACGTCTTTAAAAAAAGGACTAATTTCATCGATTAAAATCGAAGAGTGCAATTATGATGGCATTTGTCAGGCGTTTAATATGAGCTGCTCTTCCTTGCCAGCGCTTAACAATGACACAGCAGAAGAGGCCAGCTGAGTTAATAGCAGGACCATTTCTCTGAGACCAATACTCAGAAACCCCCTCCAGGGCCCAGTCAATGTCACAGCTTCTCGTGTCGCATCATTTCCCTTGCCAGGAGGGGGAGAGAGGCCAAGTATTGATCAGCCTGTAATCAGACAAGCTGTTTGGAGCAGCAGGAAAAACTCCTTGCAGAAGTGCCTCTTGGCTTCACCGGAGATGGAGTGCAGTTTTTGTAGCCTTGTTGGAGGGATGAGTGGGGAGGGAGATGGCAGTGATCCCCTCGGCTGACACCATCCATTAAGTCCGGCCTTGTCTGACAGCGCACATCTGATCTGCTGGCTGAGGGAGAGAGACGAATGTGGACTTCTCTGAGGTGCATCAATGACAGCGTAAGTCAAATCTACATCGCTCATCAATCATGACGCTACGAAAATAGCAAATCGAGGGCTAAATCGTGACAAGTAAGTGGATTTGTTATTATCATGCATGCCAAATGTGCAGCAAAAACACATTTGTTCTGTGATTCTTTCCTGCCTAGTCATTCAGTCAAGATATGGATCCGTGTACAATATCAAATGTGAAAGGTCATGAGCTTGACCCTAACACAGAAGAGTTCAGAGGCCAATGCTAGAAAAAATTGACGGAATTGTTGTCAAAAAAGGACCACTTTAAAAAACATGGTTCATAAAAGGCTCTCCACGCATATTAACAGATAATTTTAAGAATCAAGAAGCTTATTTAAGTGTTGTTTATAACCCACTTCTGTTTTTGTAAAATCTGTCGCTGTCAAAACACTTCATTACTGATTTTCTGGAGCTTTACCATCCTACACTGACTGTTAACACGCTCTCAACATGATTTCTTAAATTGTATATAGATTTTAACTGTTGTTAGAGGTAGATTAGAGTCATTTTTTCTAATATTTCACAGAAGGTCACTGTAGTGTAAATCAGCTCGAAACATCGGAACTCTAAATCTCTTAGTGCAAAAACATTTTTTTATTGAAAGCAAACATAATGGGTTCTGTTGTGTCATTCCATTGGTGTGCAGTGTAGCTGTGTCCCAAACGGCACACTATACATTATGCACTTACACACTCAACAGCATTGTATATGTAAGTAGTGTTGTCCCAAATGGAACACAAACAATTTTTTAGTAAGCAAAAATTCAAACCGTTTCCCAAATGACGTTTTACGGTTGCCAGATTTGTGAAATAAAGGACCAAACTAACGTCACCAAATGATACCTGCCACAAGTACAACCGCATTCACCATTGGGAGGCGATATAATCACTTTCATAGGAAGATTTTGCTTTCACGATCCAAAATAAATAAAGTAATCCAACATCAGTGCGAGAAAGCTCTGCCCCTTCCGCTACGTGAGCAAAGCAGCGACCGTTGAGTGCGTGAAGTGTCCAACATTCCACACTTCACTTTTTATAGTCTTGTTGGGATCCAATGCAACGTAATTTCATTCTGCATTACAATTTATTGTAAAGTATCGAGTGACAAAAATAAAAGAAAACTGAAACTGATTCTTTTTAAAGTAAAACAATATTTCAGTGTGAATACACTACTACACTATTTATACAACAAAATGGCCTAGAATAGTGCACAAGTATGAGATTTGGGACGCACCTAGTGTGTAATACTAAAAAAGTGTGGACAAAATTTTAATCTTTGAATTGAATTTTTAATGAAGTTCCATGCCAGTAAGACAAATTTGATGGCAGAAGTTAAAAAAGGTACAGTTTGTGGCAGGCTTTTTAAATAAGACTAAAAATAAAAGATAATGCAGCACTCACTATATTGGATTAGGTCGATTGTGAAATCACACAATGTGATTGGTCTATACCAGGGGTTCCCAAACCTTTCAGCACGCGACCTCCAAAATAACAATTCCAGTTACTTGCGACCCCCACTATCCTCGAAAGTGGTTAAAACATATGAATATTACACAAAACTATGCACACACACACACACACTAAAAAGCCTACATAAACACAAATATATTGACAGCACAAAGTGCAACAATCTAAAAACAAGACTTTTTAATAGTCATTTATTAATTTTTGTAATTTAATATAAACCTCACCGAATGAAACTGGTGGGCACAACATTTACAGCAAAAGTCTATTCTTGATTCCATTTTAAAGACTGCCACTTGGGGATCATCCTCCATGTTCATTTTTGGTCTTCATTTTTAATGTAGCCTATGTGAGTGCCGTAAAGGTGTCAAAGTTTAACATTGTGCCATAAACACGTAAGAGGTTGCAATCCAATGGAAAGAAAAAACTAATAGAAAGGCAGATGGGTTTTTATTTGCAGATTGTTTTTTAAAATAACTATTGAATACTATTTTAAAATTCTGAAGGTTAAAGATAAAATATGGTAATTCTAATAATTTTATCAAATTTCTTTGATTTTTGAACATCACCAAGCAACCCCTGCTCATTGTTCCGACCCCAACTTTGGGAACTACTGGTCTATACCATGAAATTTGATGAATATTATTTATATTTTTGACTATTTTTGATTATTTTCAAAGTATCACATCAATGTCCATCTATTATTTTAATATGCAAAACTGTTATCCAACCATAGCAGTGCGCCCATATATTTTGAATGTGACACGCTTAAAACATAATAACATGATGGAATATAGCCTATTACTTAAAACCTAAGATTTTTATGCAAACACCCTGACACAAAGAATATTTACATAAAAATGCAGTTTATTATTACTTCATAAAGCTTATGGTTTTATAAATATTAAAAGTTGTCCATTTACAGTTTAGCAGTTTGCATTAAAGGTCAGTTTTGTGAACTAGAAATATAGCTTTTCAGTAAAACTAAATTAACTAAAATGAAGGAATATGATGAAATACCGAATGCAATTAAAGACAACTGTCATAAAAAATAATAATAATACAAAAAAAAATCACAATATGGGCCTTTCCAAAACAGCAGCACCATCACAAGAAGGCATTAACTTCCAAGTTACTGAGCCAGATCCACAGACAGAGAGAAGGACCCTACGAGTGTGAATGCGTGTTTTCCTGCATGAATGCACCAGTATATGTGTTTTAGTGATATATGACAGCCTCCTATGCTCCATTTGAAGAAGCGGAACAGCGTGATGTGTGTGTGTTCCTATTTAAGCACATCTGCTTTCTCGACCAGCGCTCGGCCATCTGGAACTGCCTTTCTGCTAGAGTGCTTCAGTCGAGCCTCTCACGAGTTCCTTATTTTCAGTTAACGATCTGCTCTGAAACTATCAAAAACAAAGTGTTCTGCTGTCACGGCCTAACCGACAAATTTCTGAGCTCTATGAACGGGCAAATAAAGCAGTCTTTACCAAATTAAGTAAGAATAGCCTCAAATTTTCCATCTGAAAATGAGTTTCACAGCTGATTGACTTTGATAAGCTCGGTATTATTCAGAGCAAATGAATACTCAACTGGTGAGAAAATGGAGAGAGCATCTATAGGGATGAAAATTGACACTCAGCATGAATTGTGGTAACGGTTGTAATTAACATCACTCAGAGGCATCTACGAGGCGGCCTAAAGCTCAGAATAAACGTTCCTGACAAAACAAGGAATGAGGGGAAAAGAAGGAGCGAGGATGAAAGGGACTGGACGGATGGAGGCAAGGGACTCGGCACAAACTACCACATACAGCTCTGTCTCACTTTCCCAAGGTTGCAATTAATTCTTCCTCTCATCTTGTGGATCTTTGATGTGACTACACTTCCATTTAAAGTATTAATGTGCGCGCACACACACACATACACTGGAGCCTAGGAAAGCCGGCGCAAATCCTGCTAACTAATGACTCTCACTTATCTTAAAAACTAATGGGAGGAAATTCCCAAGGAGGTGTTCGGTTTAACACAATCAAATGTTTTGTTCCGAGTGAGCAATCGCTACTTCTACCAAATCCTGTAGATTAACCAAAATAAAAGGCGTTTGTGCCCTTGAAATTGACAAATGGCATTAAACCACATTAAATCAGATGAGGCGTTAGCATTAGTGGCCTTCAAACTTTTCAGAACATGTCTGATTTAATAAGAGCACTAATTTAAAAAAGCACCACCTTGATACTATGTATTATTAATGTGATTTGGTTTTTTTCACAGTATTTGAATAAGCATAGAAAATACAGAGTTTACGTAAAATAAAGCATATTATTAAAAATAAACAACATTTACAGTTCAATTTGTCGTATTTTATAAAACATCAACTTTTATGGCTGTTTCCAGTGGTACAGTCCGATATGTTTGCAATTATATAAAATAAATAAACAAATGCAACATATATGAACACAGCCCCTTAAAGTCTCAGATATGTTACCAATTACAGAAAAACTACACCCGACATACATTTAGTCCTTATTTGGCTTCAAAAACAACATGTAACATATAGCCAACAGTCAGTGCAAACCTCTCATCTGCATCTTTAATCTTCAACAGCACCTGTAACCTCTTGATAGAAAAAAATTCTGTCATTCTGAGATCATAATAGTCCAAAAGGTGATGATAATAGTAAAACATTGCAGTTTGTTCAAGTTTTAGGTGTTCTGAAAAAAAGTTTTTGAGCTTCTTATTTTTTTTATTCGTTTGTCACTCTCACGTTTGTCCATTTCTGAAAGGATCAGATGTCAGAAGCGCTTTAATAATCATGAACATGTTATTATCATCAGCTCAAGAAGTTTGTAATTTCAAATATAGACGTGCAGTGAGCTCTCTCTCTTTAGAAAGTAAAACCGCTTGTGCTTTAAACGGCCTTGTAAATAACATCGAAGAACAGGGTAGATTCTGTTCTTCTTCTTGGCTTTGTGGCTGTTCATCAGGATGTTGACAAGGTTTGTTTGAGCTTGGGGTGGACCATGGCTCGTTACTATATGCATATATTATTACTGTGTAATGTCTCGGCTGTGTATTTAAAAACGGCTCTTCCTATGTTTTCATTCTCCTGGCTTGTGCACGCGCTAGTGACATGTCTCTGTAAACCAATAGCGTTCAGCTGTGCATCTTGCTCCGCTATTTAGTACCGTTTTGTTGTGCCAGGTACCCTTTCGAAAGGGTACCCAAAAAGTGGTACAGTACGGCACTTTTAACAGTGGAAACAGCCATAAAAGCGTACCGAACTGTACAGTACCACTCTGTGGAAATGGGGCATTAAATTTCACCTTTTTAAAATATCAATATACTATATAAACATATAGTATATTTATCTGTTTTATCTATTTTTTATTGTTATTTTTATAATTCTTATTATTTGTTTTTATTTTTATTATTTGTTTTCATTTTCTTATACTTGTCTCTTTTATTCTTGTTTATGTAAAGCACTCTGAATTGCCACTGTGTATGAAATGTGCTATATAAATAAACTTGCCTTGCCTCGCCTTAATGACTTCACTTTTGATTATAAATTTGCAGTCAGAAAACATATTGTACAATCCAGGAAAAAAGGTAAACTTGGCAGAAGAGTTGGCCATATCGTCCAAAGCTGAAAAATATTTGGAAGCAGTCAAAATTTACCAGTATAATTTTTTAATTACCTTCTTTATTTACTTTCTTTCCACCAGATCACCAGGCGGACCACAGAGAACCACAGGCAAGACACACACTAATGGCATAAAGAGTTTTGGAATTGCTGGAATAATCTAATTTATAATTGAGTACGACACGTGAACGGTGGGGTCATAAAATCAGAGGAGAAATGACAAGAAAGCAAACAGCCTCCGAGTGTTTTCACAGTGAGCAGAAGGAGGAGGAGGAGTGCTGTGTGGGAATATGCAAATGAGACAGAGACAAAGAGACAGGGAGTTATAAGAGAACATAAACAAAGCTCTGTAAACAAACCTCCTCAGGTCACTCCGCAGTAGGAGAAGGAGATTAAAATAGGAGGGTGCGAATGTGTTTGTATACGCCTGTGAAGGAGGAGGAGGTGCATCCACATCATCACACAGCTCCTCATGACTCCCCGCTAAAGCACGGTACCTGCACGCGTGGTTGCTATGGAGATCCAGTGTGGCGTAAGAACAGAGGGACCAACCGCTGAACCGGCTCTGGCTCTTAACCCGGAGAAGGGAAAAAAAATCGCACACACCAACAAAGGGAATGATTTATTAAGTCCACTGTATTCTAAGCCCCATTATCCAACCCACATAAAACCTGCAAGCGTTTCAACTGATCTGATTTATGTTGAAGGCAATCTCAAAGGACACCTCCCTTTCCAAGATGCTCTCTTATTATCCTCGCCTGGCTGGGCTGAGCGGAAAAATGACATGTCATAATAATCTTGAGAACGGCAATCGGATGGAGCGGAAACGCACACGCTCCCCACCTTATTTACAGGCTGAAATGTTTTTCGTCGGGGCGAAAAAGCCTGACATAATTTCCTTATAAATAATTGACTTCTCCCATGTTAAAATCTCCTGAGAGGCTTTGGGCTTTATTCACAAGAGGCCACTGCAGCATGCGCTGCAAATTAGCCTTTCACCGACGCCTCGTCTGCTCGCCAGTGAACAATGCACTGAGAGACTCGCTCTCCTCCCTTTATGCCTGTCCCCAAGTAATAACCTTCAACTAACCTTTAAACCTCGGTGAATAATTTAAATCCTATTTTCATATCAATGGGGGGTATTTTATCCGTATACTTTGCCGTCAGAGGGAGGCATAATAAAGTTTTCCCATGTGATTGAGGGAAGAGGAAAGGGGGGGGTGGGGATGAGTGAAAAACGAGCGGCTGATAGAGAGAGAGAGAGAGAGAGAGAGAGAGAGAGGAAGGAGGAAGTGGAGGGAGCTGGAGATGCTATCTGAAGACATTAATGCAAGCATGAATTATTCAGTAATGACTACAAGATCTGTCATAAAAAATGCTGCTAACATCTGCAGCGTGTTGCGAGGGGGCTGTGGGGAGTGGGCAAGCCGCCGAGGAAAGGCGCTGAAGATAAACATGACAAATTGGCAGATCATCTGTTCAATTAGGACAGCGGAGCAGGTGCACCCAGCGAGCCAAGCTGTACCACACGGTGACACACTTACCAGCCAAAAACCAAGGGCATGATGGGAAATACCTTGTTTGCATGACAGTGATTTAGAGCAGTGTGCCATTGGATATCCACAGAAAAAAAAACTAGGGGGAGAAAAAAAAAATCTGATATTCCCCTTGGTGCTCATTAAAATTCGACTGCAGCCTCCACCCTCTCTCTTTTTTTTTCTCTCCTCGCTCTCTCTCTCGCTCGCTCCATCTTTGTGCTCTTGGCTCTCTCTTAGCTGCCTCCCTGGACCTTCCAGGATCATCTCTTATTAATTCATAAAACATACTGCTCCAGTGATTGGGCCCTGGGAGCAGCAGAGCAGCAAAACATGAGATATGGGAAAATATCACACGTGTCTGCAGCCAGGCTGCGAGAGAGAGCGAGAGAGAGAGAGAGAGTAAGTGGTGAACAGGGAACGAGGACTGTGTATATGAGACAGCAAGGGGGAGGGGGGGGCAGGAAAGGAGGTAGAGAGAGAGAGAAAGAGGGAAACATGTTTTGAAATATTAATCCATGGCTCTGGCCGTGGGCTGGTACACAGAGATGAAAAAGGCGAGAGAACCTTTGAAGCGGGAGGGGATGTTCTCTGCTGTCTCAAGGTAGACTACGCAGTCGGCCATGTTGGAAAGTAGAGGAGAAGAGACATGACAGCACTCCGAATGACTAACTTTCACCGCGGCCTCTTAATATTTCAAAGACGCCTAATTGGTTCGGCAACGTCTGGTCCTTCTAAAAAGATCCTGGCAATCTGCCTGAATGTACGCCAATTGCTTCAATCCAAATATTTCCTCGTGAATTTCCATCGCAAATGGATGCTCTTCAAAAACAAATTCGCTAAATCACTCCGAAAAGAGCACATTGAGGAAAGTAATTATCATTAAGACACACTTTGGCTAAGCATCTTGATGAACATGCTTTTCTATATCCAGAAGAATAACATTGAGAGGGCATCCTCTCTCTTTCTTTCTCTCTCTCTCTCGCTCGCTCATTTTCCACCGTGCAGCACCCTGCTGGGAAACTCTAAATTACCCACAGTCTGGCTATTCTGTACTCATAATAATGATAAAGTTTCTTTTTTCTAATTATGCAAAGAACACTCAATTAGCATAACTCGTCCTCTGTGTCACTACAAACAGCAGAACGCCCCGAGGGGCTGCCATAGTTTCGCTGCACGGCTGTTGTTTTTTTTTCTTCCTCTCATTGTTTTTCAGCGCGGTAATGAAGATATTTGTTAATGAAGATATGAACAAGCACCAAGACCACCTTCTCCCCCACCGACTGTGCAGGTGGATGCCGCAGGGAAATAAAACGCTGGTTTAATCATCGCCCCCTTCAGGTCTGCTGCGGTACCGCAGTGACTCAGGCCTGCAGGGGAGATTAAAGATGATCAAATAAAAACGGATCAAAAACACCAAAATTCTTAACCCTACCAAGCAGAATGTTACACCTTTGGGGGGAGGGGGATTGTTAAAAAGCAAGCTGCACTACTTAAGACCTGTTGGCGCTTCTGTTCAGGATGTGATAACGTCCATCAAAAAACACCCCGGGTTCAAATATACATTTTGCAAACACGTGCGCGCGCACACACACACATGCATGTAGGCTAGGCAGTCCAGCTCTCATCAAGAGGATGCATAGCAGAAGCATATGTCACTATAAATTCTGAATCCATAGAGACATTGGCTAGAGGCGGGAGACAGACTGGAAATAATGGACATGGAGGAAGTATAGAAAGATGAGATTGCAGTTGAGCTTAAATAATTAGGCATGACATCGCTAATAAGTACACAATGAACCCTGAGCTGCTGTGTTGGTGATCTGTCTGTGTAACTCTGGAATCTGGGATGCTCGCTGACAGAAAAGAGAAAATTACTGTAGAAAAGAAGATGAATACAAAATTGATTTATGGAGCCTGAACATAAGGGTCATTTCTGTCATACTTTTCATTGTCTCATGTGTCTTAATATATTTTAATATTTAATTCCATTAAAGTTTGAGCTAAATAAAAATAGCTTTATCAAAATGTCAGTTAACTGAACAGAGTTGTATTTTTTTTTATTTCCAATATTGGAGGTTTTTCATCATTGTGCTGTTGTGTCAAAATAATCTGGGTTGTCTATATTACTTTCAATTCTTTGTAATATTGTTGTCTTTTCCATAAAGTAACAAGGCCAGATTTCATTATCATCGTCTCCTAGAAAATCAAGTTGTTTTTTGGCAGGAAATTAGCAGCACAAACAAAAGTGTTAGCAATGCTTAAGGGATATTTACAGTTTTTTTTCAGTTGCTAACCAGCGTTTACCCAACCAGTTGTCACATTCTCAAAACTCTAAACACAATTAGCAAAGCTAAAAGATATCGGTCTTTTGTGACCATATATTCACCCATTTCATGTCCTTTTCACCCAGCATGCAGTCACTGAACACATTTCCACTAGGGTTGCATGGTTTACCGATACAATATTAGTTTCGTGATACTATGGGTCCAAAATACTGGCCGTGCGACTGTAGTTTGTAAACGGTAGTATCGTCATTATTGGTCTGTCTACAATACATAATGTTGCATGTTGAAAATTCACTAAAATGCTTCATTTCTGCTCCTGTCAATATGATTTAGTAGCTACAACAACTGTGACAATCTCTTAAAAAGAGCAACCCACAAAGTAAAATTGTGAATTACCTGATAAAACTGAAAAAAAAAAACAATAGACACTGGAAACATTGCAACTGAATTTTTGACCACTTCATAAAGCATAATTTGGTTGGAAAATGCTCTTTTTATAACAAATTTATGTTGGTATAATTTGCATCTTTATTTTAATGTTTTTTTTTTTTTTGTTTGTCAGACTTTTATAAAATAAAAAAAAGAACAAATCCATTTTAGGTGAAGTGACATGCACATACTTTTTTTCAATAATGAAGGAATCATTAATTCAATTCAAGTAGGCCTATTATAACATATAAAATATAGGATTTCTGACTATTTTCTTTATTTCATGAATTTGAGTTATAAATTAAAGTATTGCAATACTACTTGGTATCTTGATACTTCAGCTGGTATAGTATTGCTACATGAATTAACGGTATCGTGACAACCCTAATTTCCACAATATTTACATTTTCTTAACAGACAAACTAAACCTCACAACAAAATGATGATCCCACAATAGCAAAAACAATATTTCAAACCTTAGATACAGTATAAAAACCTCTGCTTCTGCAATGATATCAGTTCAAAAACAATATCAATATCAAAAATATATCTCAGCTGATAATAAACAAACAATTAAATAATTAACACACAGATGATTTATGTTGGGTAAATTGGGCCAACCACAACTGATTGTAGACAGTCTGACTTAGACTGGCAGGAGTATTTTTTTCCTCTTATACAGTAAAAGGATGACTTTGAGGAGTGATGTGGATGAAAACAAGTGACCTAACCCTGAAGATTATAGAGATTAGAAACAGTTATTTTGGGTTTTTTTTTTTTTTAGATCCCCATTTTTATCTGGCCTTTTTGCTGTTGTTGTGTTGTTGTATTTTTGTTCGGAATGCTGAGGTATGTTTCATGGATATTTTGTTCACTGTACAGCAATACTGGAGAACATGTTTTGTTCTATCATACCGTGTTTCTACTGTACCTCCTGTAGTAAACAGTAAAGAAAAACACTCATTTGTTTCTTACTGGAATACTTTTGGAATTTTTGGAATTACTGTACATGTGGACATTTGTCAAAAAGGTAGATTTTTTACCTTTAAAACTGAAACATAAAAGTCTCTGCAGTTTTTTTAATGTCAACAATAGCCAGTATTTTGAAACCTAGTGTACTTTGATTGACTACATGCACCTTGTGAAGTGATAACAAGTGTTATTCTTTGACAGAATCATATCATTTTAAGTGAGATTTCCAGTATTTTAGTAAAGTTTGTGTGTGCAGAGAAGGATGTGTTCTGATTTGAAATGAAGAGTTAGTACATATTTAACAAAATGTATTTTAAGGATAAAAAATGATCTGTTTGGCCAATTGTGTTTTAGGTGTGTGAGTCTGTGTTAAAAGTTTAGAAAAACACCTGAAGTATGGGTAAGCCACTTGTTGGCGATTGAAAAAACTGTAACCCAAAAGCAAAAACTCAGTCATCATTTACTCATCCTGGTGTTCTATTGTCAAATGTCCTTCTTTCAATTACAGAACACAAAAAGAGAATGAAAAAACATAGTTATAAAACTCAGTTTTTTACCTATAAGAAGAAAAGTGTGTGTTTTGTTCATAATCATGTGTTTTTTCTGGCGAGTTTGCATTTACATGTATGCTATTATTGTCACGAATCTGCAGTATAACAAAGATCAGAATTTAAGCATTATATTTAGATTTGAAGACGAGATTTCTCTCTCTCTCTCTCTCTCTCTCTCTTTAAAATGTTACATTCGATTTAATAACATTAGAAAAATTCATTCATTTGTTTTCTTTTCGGCTTAGTCCCTTTATTGATCAGGAGTCGCCACAGCTGAATGAACCGCCAACTTATCCAGCATATGTTTTACGCAGCAGATACCCTTCCAGCTGCAACCCATCACTGTGAAACACCCATACACTCTCATTCACATGTATATACTACGGACAATTTAGCTTACTCAATTGACCTATACCACGTTGACTTGTGGGGGAAACACGAGCACCTGGAGGAAACATGCGAACACTGGAGGAACATACAAACTCCACACAGAAAAGCTAACTGACCAAGCCGGGGGCTCAAACCAGTAACCTTCTTGCTGTGAGGCGATCGTGCTATCCACTACGCCATCGTGACACCCATAACAAAAATATAAATATCAAAATCTAACAAAATTAATATAAAAAATGTTAAACAAATATAAAAATGAACCTAAAACCCTATATAAACTAACTGACAATCTCTCTCTGAGAAATGGCCTGCGCTAGCTCTTTATTTCCATTCTGTTCATTTTCTTTTCATTATGCACATAATCAAGCTATAATTAAAAGTGTAAGCGCATACATACTATAAGTGCACATTTCTGCAGGTCTGTTTAACTCTTTTATAAAAATTCTTCATTGCAATACAAACATATTCATATTTC